CTCAACGTTCCACTCTCCCAAGTTCCAAATCTCTCAAGGTCCCATTCTCCCTAATTCCAAACCTCTCATGGTCCCACTCTCCCAAGTTCCAAATCTCTCAAGGTCCCAATCTCCCAAGATCCAATTTCTCAATTGAAGAAATCTCAAAACCCCCATCACCTATGCCCCAAGCTCTCTTATCCCAAATTCCTATACTCCCAAACCCATGCATCCCAATCTGAAAAATTCCCAAATACCTACATTACAAGATTCGTCCCCCTTGTATCTAAAAACCTCCCTCAGTCCCCTTCCTCAGTCCTCTTCCTCAGTCCTCTTCCTCAGTCCCCTTCCTCGGGCCTCTCCCCAGAGAAAACAGATTTGCCATACAAGGTCATTATTACCCTTACGCTATCCGAGTTATAAATTTCGCAAAGACCGGGTTCAATGCTAAAACTTAACTGACCGTCGCGACTAAGGTACCGTACACCACAGAAATTACACGGCTGCAAGGAAGTGCCATTTTAATTAACGATCAGGGAACGGAGCCAGGCACCGACGCGGTTAGTACAGGGTCGCTAACCATGTCGAAGTAATTAAGGGATTAGCCGAGCGGTTTGCTGACTAACGCCGCTCGCCTCTCTTGAGCATCGTTCGAGCCCGTCTTCTTCGACGTTTCGTTCGGGTTCGAAACGAGCAACTTTTAATCCCACGTTGCTTCTGAGACTGCTTTTGTTGGTAGCATGTGTAGGAAATTGGAGGATGGTCACTTTTATTATGTCTTTGTCATGTTCTTATTTGTACATTTAAGTTGTTGATTGGGTGCAAGGTCTTTTGGTTAGTGTTAGATTGTGAGATTTTTAAGGATGTTATAGGATGATTTGGTTGATGACATGTGGACATTTTCGTTGGGGATGACTACTGACATGTGGACAGGATATGTGAACAGTTATCACACATGTAGATATTTCCTTGTGAACAGTTGACACACATGTGGACATTCTTATTTGAACAGCTAACACACATGTAGACATTACATCCTCTTGTGAACAGCTAACACACATGTGGACATTCCTATGTGAACAGCTAACACACATGTAGACACATGTAGAGAAGGAAAATTATCTTTGAGCAGCACTGGTATACGGTGTCATCAATGTATGCACACTTTGAACGTTAATGTTGAATATGCAACTGTAGAATTGAATGACACTGATCCTGATCCTCATGTGATATTAACCCAACGTTTTAATGTAACAATTATGTGAATGCAGAATGATGCTACGTGAGGGAGTCTTCAATGATGGATAAAATAATATGAACAAGAATAACTGGAACATATTTTGTATTTAATTTTACTCGTACAGAAAATGACAACTGACAGCTGAAACTCTTTGATTGCTACCTAAGATGACATTGACATACCAAAATCATTAGTCCTCTAAATACTTATTTAATAATGAAAATAAGAAAGTATACATTTTATCATCATTCTATATCAAACTGACTCGCACAAAGAACAAAATTATTAATAACTAAATTAAATCCATGTCGGTAGTCAACGTATATAATGTGAAGGGTGCGTCTACTCGTGAACATGAACAAATAAAATTACAAAACATTTTCAAAACCTATTTATCAGACACCAATCTCACAAATAGTGAATTATTTGTTACAAGACCCATACAATAAGCAATTACCATTAGCAATATTGAACGACGATATGTAATGTCTAATGATCGAATTACTCGATGATTGAACGCAATTGTACATTCGGCAACGTGGTGATTCAGGTACGGCAGCGAGGGTGTTGCGGAGTCCGCCCTCGTCGACGACACCCTCAACGGAAATCCTCGATCTTCACCGTCGTCTTCTTCGATTCTGCCTCCCCTTCAGTCAGGATCGACTTCGGACACGATCGACGCTGAAAATCTAACCGGTTCGAGAAAGTACGTACGATAGCGCCTCGTCGTACCCTCTCCCCTAGATCGCTGCACCGTTTCGATAGAAACGATTGTTGCTTCACTGTTTGTTTAATGTTGTTGTTGTTGTTTATTGTTGTTGTTATTGCTGCTGCTACTGCTGCTCCAATTGTATTACCGCCTTGTCATACCCGATGGCTAACTCGTTTCGTAATCTGTTATCGCTTTTGTAGGCTCCTCATCCTCGTTTGCAAGTTTAGCTATGGGGTCACTTTGACCCGTGGTTATCGTGGTTTATGGTAGGGTGCTTCAAGAGTATTGCAAGATTGCAAACTTTTTTGGAGCTTTACTTTATCAAATTTCGGAAGTTTCTTGAAGATTTCAAAATTCTAACCGAGGCAAAATTAAGAAGTTCATTAAGTTGAAGTTTTAAGGTTTCAAAATTGTTGAACTTGTAATTTATTCAGTCCCACATTACCAGGGCTGCAAAAAATTCTTGATATCTGACGTGCCAAACTTCTAAGGTTGCAAAAGTCGAAGTATGTAGAGTCCCAAACTTCCAAGGCTCCTATTAGTATTTAAAAGTCCTGAAAATTCTTTCTTCCTACCTCCCCCCCACTTCTCGGTTTTCTTTCTTTCTCCTCTTCACCATTCCCGACTGTCCCGTAAAAGCTCAGGAAGGAAGGTTTACAACTATCTTCCACGGACCCACAGAGGGAAACCGATTCTCGATTTCGGAAAAGATCTTTCACCCGCAGGCGGATTCGATCCGGTGTCCCTCGGATCCTCGATCCGACTCCCTACCGACTCACCCACCGACGCCCCATTCTTGGTACTTCATTAGAAGGATATTACCATACAAGACTCAATGGTATTCTCAATTTCCCATTTCCTACCTTTCTCCTGGTTATTTTCTTTTTCTTCCCCTCCCCCACTTTTCTTCTTTCCCCCACAAGTTCCACAATTCACAAGTACGAAAATTATAAAATTCCAAAACTGCAATGTTCCTGAATTCAAAGCACCCAAAATTGTAAAATTCCAATTTTCTCAAGTTCCAAAATTCCAATATAGAAAATCCCAAAATTTCCAATATTTCAAAGCTCCAAAATCCTAAGATTTCAGCATTTTAAATCCCCAAAATCCCCAAATTTCCAACATCTCAAATCCCCAAAATTCCAAAATTCCATCTCGAATCCCCAAAATTCCATATGAAATTTTCCCAAGTTCCAAAATTCCAATATAGAAAATCCCAAAATTTCCAATATTTCAAAGCTCCAAAATCCCAAGATTCCAACATCTTAAATCCCCAAAATTCTCAAATTTCCAACATCTCAAATTCCCAAAATTCCAAAATTCCATCTCGAATCCCCAAAATTCCATATGAAACCCCCAAGCTCCCATATCCCTAAATCTCAAAATTCCCCAAAACTCTCAATCTCCCTAAATCCATAAACTCCCCAAAACTCTCAATTCCCCTAAATCCCTAAACTCTCAATCTCTCTAAATCCCTAAATTCCCCAAAACTCTCAATTTCCCTAAATCCCTAATTTCTCAAAAACTCTCAATCTCCCTAACCCTCAAACCCCCAAAATTCCAATTTCCCTTAACCCCAAAACTCCCACCCCGTAACCTCATAAAATTTCCCTTTCCCCCAACTCCCATGTCCCTACCGCATAGGACATCCTGTACACCCACATCCACAGTATACAAACAAGATGTAGTACACCCCCAGTCCAAACGACCCATTCGGCATGCTAGCGTTAATTACTAAACGATAGTTGCTTAAAATACGTGTGTATACAATCGTGGAATTGTATTGATCGTGAGAGTCGTGAGGCTTCCGAGCAGCAACGTTTCCCTATTTTGATTCGGTTTAGAATGTTTATAGAACGATGCGCCAGCAGTAAGTCCTGATGACGCGCAATCGAATCGACAACGCTATTTGTCTCTGTCGATGTTAGCCGTGCGATCGATAAAACTTTACGAGCCAGCCAATGGCCAATTACGCGCGAATCGATTCATCAGGCTGTACGCGTCGAAGACGATAAGTAAATGTTAACGACCATGATCCATCTGCAATGAGAGCAGCAGTCGATCCTTGATGTTGGATGATGCGATAGATCGTGGTTCATTTGCAAATTGACCTTACGAGGAAACGGTGTCAAGGTAGACCTTGAAGATATCTGGTCGATTTCTTCCTTCTTCGGATTCTTGATAGGTGTTTTATTCGATTAGTACAAATTTGATCAGCTTAATTTTTTAAACTTTTGAATTCGGTTGGAAAATTGCTTGTCATTACTTTTTCTTAATATTCTGGTAGTTATAAAGAATTTCGAATGAAGATTTATATAATTAAAGAAATCGTACAACGAGGGGTTTTCAAGCATCCTTAATAATCCCAAGGTGTATTTTCCCATCCATATTGATTGCCATAAAGCGAATAAAGCGGTTAACGTGACAATTTCATGCATTACAGTTATTGCGAGAAAGCGGATAACGAAACGACAGACATGGGCGGCGTTCCTCACGTGGAGGGTGGACTGAATAGCGAGCTATACGCGGTTCCTGTGAAACGAAGGCAACCGAAGGATCAGAAGAACAATGCGAGCCTGCAGAACAATGCCCAGGAGAAACCGTCGGAAGTGGATACGAACGAATGCGAGGATAAAGATGAGAATCTACCGCCCGGATGGCAAAAACACGAGGGTGGGTGTCCAAGAATTCGCGAGCCAGCCAATTGTACGAGACAGATCGATAAACCATTAGAGCGTAATATAATAGAGGCCAAAGTTAATGAACTATATCGTTTATCTTTTTATTTCAGACGAGAACGGACCTTATTACTGGCACGTCAAAAGCGGCAATATTCAGAGAGAGCCACCGGAGGCGCTTCCACACTCCAAGAGGGAGTCTCGTAGGAGCCTTATCAAAGATAATGATAGCGTGAGTTTTATTTCCATAGGTTTTTTATTTTTGTAGAATAGAGAATTTTAGAGGAGGCGTCTTCATTGTAGATAAACAATTTCCACACTTTGAGCGGCATGGTGAACACGGTGACCCGTAGCAACACCAGCTCGGCTTTGGATCAGGAGTTGGAGAACAAGAGGAAGGTGGAATTAGCTCTTAAGTAAGATAATTTTTATATTCTTGAAATTTAATATTTTGGCTATCAATTTGCAGACTATCAAATCCTCCACAAAAGTCTATCATCCACGTATCGATCTACAATCTCATGTTGCATATTTTAGACGAAGAAGCTACCCCGCCCGAGCAGATTCAGAGGGCAGAGACAAACCGATCCGCTTCGCCGTGCGTTCCCTCGGCTGGACAGAGATCGCCGAGGAGGATCTGACACCCGAAAGAAGCAGCAAAGCGGTGAACAAATGCATCGTGGACTTGTCACTCGGCAGAAACGATCTTCTGGACGTGGTTGGTCGATGGGGCGACGTTAGTATCAATTTAAACAATATTTGCTGTCCTATGCAACTTACGTAAGACCTGAAATCTTGCAGGGCAAAGACTTGTTTATGGATCTCGACGAAGGTGCTTTGAAGCTGATAGACCCGGAGAACCTAACCGTGCTCAACACACAACCGATTCACACGGTCAGGGTGTGGGGTGTTGGTAGAGACCACTGCCGGTAAGTGGATCTTTGAATTTTTAAACCACACTCGGACAAGATTGAACCGCTTTAATAACTCGTTTACAATTCTTTTCATGAACTTCTGTTGGATGGCTCGTGTACAGCGAAAGGTAACGAGCATTACTGAAGTATAATGTTTACATAGTTGACGACGTTTGATAAATGGGTTAATGGGATTTCTTTATCAGGGACTTCGCTTATGTGGCAAGAGACCGATCGACCCGGAAACACATGTGCCATGTGTTCCGTTGCGACATACCGGCACGTACGATCGCTAACACGCTTCGCGATATTTGCAAGAAGATCATGATCGAACGGTCGCAACATCAGAATCTGGCGAAACCGGTGGACATTAATGGGAGAACGAGCCTCGCTACCAGACCTACTAACCTGCCTACTGAGCATCGACGATTTCATAAAAACGGACAAGCACTAGTCAGTAAGTAGATAAATTATGATGCGATAAATGTATGTTGACACTGTGAGGACTGAGTACTCGTAGAGAGTACTGTATGCGACGAGTTACCTCTTGTAAGCACAGAACGCGTTGAATACTCTGCTCAGTGATATCACATGTGAGTACCATATGAGTGGTGATACCACACATGACGATACTACGAATAGCAAATACCACTCATGGCAAATATAAAACGAATACCACATGTGGCGAATACCACATGTGACGAACACCACCCATGGCAAATACCACGCGTGATGAATTCCATGCATGACGAAGCCACACGCGAATATCATGTATGACGGTACAACAGGTGGCGAATACCGTGAATAGCAAATAGAACACATGACGAATACCACGCGTGATTACCATGTGTGGTTATTAAACATAACGAATAAATGTATATACGATATATTCGTATATACACATGTATTGTATAAAAATACCATACAAACGTTAATCTATTTACAGCACAATCTTTCCCAACGCCCATGGAGGAGCCGAAGAAAGTGCTACGGGCACAGTATCTTGGATCCATGCAAGTATCTCAGGCGACTGGAATGGAAGTTTTAAACGACGCGATAGATCACATCGTATCCAACACCCCTATCAATCAATGGCGAAACGTGAACGTTGCTGTGGCACCCAGCATGATTTCTATCCTTACACCAAATGTAAGTGCATATCCAAATGTGTGTACCATCGTGATGATAAAACAACGAATCGTATCGATGATTGTGTCGCTTCAGGAGGAGAAACTTATCACCGAGTGCCGAGTACGTTATCTGTCGTTCCTCGGTATCGGCCGCAACGTGAAACAATGCGCGTTTATAATGCACACCGCGCAAGATCTCTTCATCGCACACGTCTTCAATTGTGAGCCTAGCAGCGGAGCCCTTTGCAAAACCATCGAAGCCGCTTGCAAGGTAATTTTTGACTTGGAACAAAAAATAAAGATGGAAAAACTTGTTTGTAGTATAAAATGTATTTGATCCGATTCGAAATATTAAGTCAAACGTATTGAATTGAAAGTGTAAATATATTTTTGATAGCTGAGGTACCAGAAATGCTTAGACGCACATCCTCAAGGCTTCAGAAACGCCAGCAGTCTGAACACTCCTAGCGGAAAAGGTCTTGGCGCTACCCTGAAGTCGTTGGTTGGTTCACTGACTGGACGTAGAAATAAGCAGGGTGAGTCCTGAGACGAGGCTCTCTCGCTGCAGGTAAATGATCACGCTCAGCCGTTAAAGTACGAAAATAATGAGATCCGCGACAGGAATCTAGTGAAAATTACACGCGAACGCGTACCACGAACGACACAGACAACGCGATCGTCGAATCGCCGAACGACTATGTTGTAGTTGACAGGTTCGCTCGTTCCTTCGCAGGAACTGTGGCCGCTGCCTGCTGAGCGAGAGGTGATCAGACACAGACATCTGCAATCGCCGCTGACCTTGAAATACTTTAGCGGATCGCCACCAAGCGCGTCCCTCAGGTCACTCCTTTCGCCGTCTCTGGACAACAGGCGTATTCAGTTAGCCCGTTGGGAGAGCAACCCTTAATATGGAAATAAATACCAGCCGCAGTTCAAGCCAAGTAAGAAAGAAGCACGGAGGAACGCGAACAGGAATTATATTCGTACGTTTAACGACTGAATCGTGAATTCTGCAGAGTGCTATAACTAATTAACCACAGCTATAGTGGACTACGCTTACGTGTGTCGATATGATGTTATGTATGTTACACGCAGTGTCCGAAAAACAAAAAATGATTTCAAATTAAATAAGTCGACGAACGAGGCCGAGCTCGTGGATCGACGTCACGAAAATTCTCTTTTAGATTCGAGTCGGCGCGAACGACGCTGATGACCTTGAAACGAGAGAATCCAATCGCGCCGCGAACATTACGGAACCTTCTAGGGGGCAGAGTATCCCGCGAACATATGGGACGACATAGTAAAGAGCGAGTTTGTATATACATACGGGACGGTAATTTATCGCGGTAAATTTAGTTGAATTCGCTGGATCGGACGGGAGTCTAGAAGAGGGATGAAAGGGGATACGATCGTACGAGTGAGTGAGGGAGTGTGTGATGTAGCGTTCTAGCGTATCCACGAGGCATTCGACGATTTAAACGATCGACGACAGAGCTATAGAGAGCTTAAATGTATAACTTACATGTGTATTCTCGGGTGTACAGATTAGGGAAGCGAGACGAGGATGACCAGACCACACGAACTTCTAAACACGTAAACACGAATAATTATATAGGAGAGACACGCATAGAGAGATTACCACGCGACGATACACTATTATAGTTAACACGCTAAATATACAGACACACACGGTGACACACACAGGCAGGTAACAGGGAGTTTATTTTTTATGGCGAAATAAGTAGAAGAACTTGCACCTTGTGAGAGCGAGAAGACGACACGGCAAGCGCTGTACGCGACCGTCCTTTTAAATCCATGGGGAATAAACAGACCGAGACGAGCTACCTACCGATCTTGACACTCGCAATGAACGGTACACACGTATTGTCGTACGCACAATCGCTGTGCAGTAACGCTATCGCCTATGCAAACACTCATTCTCTGTTAACGTTGTACCGAATCATTCATCGTCGCCATGGACAGTTTCATGAATAAAGTTTCGTGAGAAAAACAAACTACAGAAACCGTCAGCGACTCGTCCAGAGAGTTTATTCACCGTCACGACTACCTTTCTCCGACAACGTTTGCACGCGTGTTCACGGAATAGTAAAAACGTACGCGTACACAACTATATTTACTCGCAGATTCGTCATTAATCGCACGTGCACAGCATCGATCGCACCGTCACACGGTAGAGTTAGGGCGAAATCGAGTTTATTCGATCAAACATCGACGATGAACAACACCGGATCCATCCAGTTAACAAACCGCTGGCTGGACGATCGTTGACGATGCCTAACGTCGATCAGTAGATTAGAATGCGTGTACCATCGTGTGCCGTTTTCCTTACCGTTCATTTTCTACCGATAGTTCTAGGCTGTTTTCCAAATATTCGACAACAACGGCAGCGAATTGTACAGAGAAGAAAACCAAGATATTTCGTCCCTCGATCCCTCCCGATTATTTTCGTACGATAGCCTCGCGATTAGACTACCTGACGATGTAGTGAACCGACGTCGCACACATGCTGTTCACCGGCGAGATTGATAAACGATGCATGCAACTCGTTTATTCGAATCGATGTTTCGCGTGTTTTCGCTTGTTCGTGCATGTGCTTCTCGCGGTTGCTTTTAACGGGACTTGTGGACTTGGGTGAATGGAATCAGGATGACGTCTACGTTACCGATACTTTGACGATCGACAAGTCGCTATTTCATTTTTATCTGTGTACTTTAGCTGGTGCTAATCGCAGTTTTGAAAATTACTCGTTTCGCAGCGTATGTTGAATAAAGTATCAAATATGTTAATAACAGAATGACCGCTCGATAATTAACTGACAGTCAACTTAATGTCAGAAGCTAGGCTTTATGGGCTGAAACCCTTTTGCAGAAAGTTCCAAAGTACCTTCAAGTTCCGTAGTCCTAAAATTCCAATATCACATTTACCTGCCAGCTACTTATCGAGCGGCCAGTATACTGATTAACACATCCTCGACGTCCACAATACTTTACCGTCCCAAATAGCAAATCCAATGTAGCGAACAAGCGAAAAACCCAACTATCTAGAACGTACCAAGGAATTAGAAAGACGAGAGGATCGTTAACCTAATACGTGCACTGTCAGCAAGAATTGTCCGGGGCGAGAAATATCTTGCTCGCAGGGCAACGGTCGTCCGTCGAGGACGGTCATCGCGTCGTGGGAGCCATCGTCATTGCGAAAGATACAAAGTTGTGCGGGACCCAGAACGAAGAAATATTTCTAATGTAGCGTTTAAATAAGACGGCTGGCAAGGTAGGAGAAAGCTTGCGTGAAGAGAGCATGAGTGTACGTGTGTGTGGTTACATAGACTGCATGATTACGAGGGTTGCCTCTCGCGACAAATATTTATCTAGATGAGGATGCGTAACGGAGAATAGAACCGCGATGATGGATCATTATTTGTACATAAATACATGTTACGATCACCCGCCTTTCACCATAAGGGACGGGAGAAAGCCTATATTGGGCTGAATGTTAACTTGAAAGGGCACTTCCTAGGATCCGTGCATTCGTAGGATTCTTTTGGATATTCATGGGCGTAGTCAAGGATGTCAAATTTTAGTTGAGATTCGTTTTGTAAGACTGAATTTTTTTTATTTATGAATCATTGTCGGATTTAAAAATTTTTAAATCTTCAAATACCCAAATTGTTAATGGTAGTAAATATAATTTTAAGATGAGGTGAGAACCGGTAGTTCTCTTGGCTACGTCCATGTGTTCCCTTTCGACTTTCACGCCGCTTCGATCTTATTTTCACCTGTGTGCATCATGTTGCGTTCCTTCCATTTACCCGGTGAATACACGGGTAGACTTGTCACGAACAATAAACGAAAGGAAACGTCGCGCGACGAGGCCTCCCCTGCGACCCGCAACTCGAATCTCCAACCCCGAAATTTTACACGAACGAACCAGCGACGTTTCTTCTGCTATCGATATGTCGTTGATACAGTTTCATTGCTTTGGTATTCATATATATATGTATATATAATAAATATAATATATATATGAGTATAAATATAAATAAATATAAATATAAATAAATGAATGAATAAATGAATATATATATAGTTGTTGAATTTGTATTACCGTAAAGGTATAAGGGCGAATCGAGGGTGGTACGAGACAGCCTCGAGAGCGCGACGACAAATGTGGTGTGGATGTAAATAATTATTATTAATTATACGCTCGTATAGAAAATTAAGAGACTAAAGGGTGAAGGTTGAACAGTACGGAGGTCGAGGACACATCGTTGCACATCGTTGCGCGATTAAATTAAAACACACGCGATTCAAATACCCGTACACGCGAAAACGAGAGAGAGAACATGTACACACACACATGCATACAGATACACGAACACACGATACACACGTAAAAAATTGCGCGTAGCTTAACTGTCTCCTTAATGTAGGTGTTGAAACGTCGCCGGAAATGCGAGACGAAAGAGTACCCCCGAGAGGGTCGAAAAGAGGTGACAAGGAGGTGGAGGAGGGTAAAGGAGAAGGGAAGCCACTTGTAAACTGGACTAATAGAATAGTGCAAACCTAACTATATTTAACTGTGACATGTAATATCCTTAACGAAAGCGAAAAACGAAAAAAAATGCGATCTACTGATAGAAAAGAGTTGTTCTTGCACAAACACGAATGCTTCATTGATAATTATAGTGTCTCTCTCTTTCTCTCTTTCTCTATCTCTCTATCTTCAGAAGTACATACCTCTCTGTACCTTATGGCAATTCAATAATTAACCGACACAACATATGTTTCGGCATCGAAGACGAAGAGAAAATATTAATGAAATGTGGAACGCTGAACCGCGCCGCGAACGATTCTCGTCATCGTTTTAATTCGACCTCATCGTTTGAGTAATCGATCACCGGAAAACACGCACCGATCATTGTTAATCATTATTATTATTGTCACGATCATTATCGTCGCGTTGATACGGAGAAACGAGTGTCGAGAACTCGGCATCGTCGTCTGCTCGAATAATGTTACTAGCAAAATGATCCTCATCATCGACTAGTTGAGATAGAAGGAGAGGAAAACGATTGTGTTCGCGCAAGAAATTGCGCGGTCAATTTTCTCGCAGTGATAGGCAGATGGTGAACGAAAATATTAATAGCTGCATTACTAGTTTAACTATTATATTTCCAAATGTCTTGAGTTCGTATTGAAAATTATTATCAAGCTTCTAATTCAGCAAAGTTCTAAATCTCTTAATTTCCAAACCCTCAAATTTATAAATTTTCAAACCCCAAATTTTTTGATTTTCTAAGATTCTATCTAATTTGAAAATTCTCGTATTTTTAAATGTTTTAAATGAGTGATTTTATGCACATCTGCCGATCACTGAGACGATGAAGAGCGATCAACATATTTGTCGACGTCACACGCGAAATGAGAAGGCCAACGAGATTCTATTTCGCGTTTTGATCTTAATTTTTTTCGAAATAGAATCTCACTCGTATCTCGTGGCCGAAACAAGTTGCAACCTATGAGGAGAGAAATGAACGAGGCGTTTTGTAATATTCAACGTCCGTGTGTCGTTTTAGAAGAGCGTACGAAAGGACAAAGCACTTTGTATGCACCCAACACCCTCCCTCTCTCCCATTTGTTCATGCCCATTTATATCGCGTAGTTGGACCGGTCGATAATTATAACGGACGTGAAAATACTATTATATATATATACGTATATATACATATTATATATATATAAATATATATATAAAAGCGATAAGAATGAAACTACTGTAACTACACCTGCCTCTTGTGAATAAATGCCTATTTGTTTCTTTTCAATCTTGTTTCGATAGCACCCCCTTCTTGACTTTCCTCTACAAAATATTAAAATTTTTAATTATATTTTAGCTTCAGTATTGGGAAAATATTTTAAGGAAGCAAACGTAGAAATTCATAAAATTTTTTACATGTGTTTAGAGTTCGTTATTGCACATTCGAAACTGATAAGGAAAAACCATATTAATAATGGTTTGTCGAAGGTACAACATTCAGAAGTTAATTAGTTTTGCATTCTGATGTAATTTGATGCATGTTATAGTTAATTAAATCAATAAAATCAATATTAATTGGGTTTTTATAAAAAATTGAACATGTGGCGCCATCTCTCCGGCGAACAGGGTGAACTACACAGTTTTGAAACTGTAGTTTCATTAGTTCATATGCTCGGCCGCTAGGTGGCGCCACATGCGTCGTTTACGATTCAATTCCATTAATTAAAGTTAATTTTTTTTAGTTTAATTGACTATAATATGATAATTATTTATTATAAATTTATTAATATTGATATTCTGCTGGTATCTCGTCGGTAATGAGAGAATATCATTGCATAATGTAATAATTATACACATATGTATATAAATACATACCTTACTGTGATAACGACATAATTGCAGGATGCACTTATCATAGAAAAATGATTGTAATACTGTGGGCATAGGTGTACAATCAAACAAACGTATAAAAATAAGGCTTGCACAATATTTTCAGCTTGTTACATTGATTACTTTACAATAACACTTTCAGCTACTGTACAAATGAAGGAGTTGCATTTTGATTTAGAATGTAAAAGACAGCGATAGAAAATAACCCATCTTGCAGAGTTAAAAAGATGTTCTAGAATCAGACTGCCATAACTATATTATATCTGGTAATAAAGCGTTAAAACACACGCGACAACGGTGGAGTCTGATCTATCTCAAAACAGAATTTATGTCATTCTACAAATTGTAAAACATCGACAATTGTTACATGTATGGCTAGAATAGGTTTAAGAATTATAATAAATAAATTTGGACAATGCAACAATGATTCTTACTTAACAATTTTTAAGTCAATCAAATGCAAAATTGGTCATCTTCCATCACTGTCCCTTATCATAACAACGATAGAATATCCGTATCACAATCAACGATAAATGACCTCCCTTAAAAGTCTACCGCGTGTCTATCACAAATTTTATTTACACCGTGAAGAAACAGATTCGAACTGTTTAGGCCGCGTAATTACATCTCGTCACAGCAACGAGGAAATCGGCTAGTTTCGCTTAAACGAAGCGTCGAGAATCACAACGATTTAGAATCCAGAGATCTTTATAAGAAGGCGTCGTTCTAACGAGCCGTTCCATTACCTTGTTTGAAACGTTCACCATGAAACACTTCAGTCCCCTATTTCTTTCCTCCAACGTTACGAAGAAATGCTCGTTGTGTCAGTTTCGAACGCGCTTAAGTATGCTACATATTCCGCAACTTACTCAAGGAGAGATTAAAAACGTAGATATCTATTGTCGAGAATCTTTCTTTGAGAAAGTCCTAGTTCCGCGCCAAAATTATACAGAGGAAGATCAAGACACAATCTCGTTGACGAAACGAGATTTTTCGTCGGACCTGCATTCACGAGCAGCTGGAAAGTAGAACGAAATATTTACGACTCGTCTGCTCCAGTAGCGTCGTGGAAAGTGATGCACGCGGAACGATTTATTGCGGGTTCGCCGCTGAAATTCCTATCAGCGATGTGCGAGTTATCTGTCGGGTACCCGAAACGTATTGGGAGCACATCGTCGGGGATTCTAGACATGTGGACTCTCGAGAATTCTCTCAATCTTAACTTTCTTCGAATTCCCATTTACACTCAACGACTATGTTTCAGAACTTCTAATACGAGTCAAAGTACGAGTAATCGAGTGCACAAGAATTTGTGTTCAATTCTAACTCCACCCATTAAAACTCCATATGTCTCAAATAACCATACCCAACGCTCTCCATCAGGTACCCTCGCACAGTCTACAACGGTTGGTCCCATTACACTGCTATTGCTAAAAAACGCGAGGAATATCTCGAGCACAGTCTTCATCTCTCACCGTGCACCGGTGTCTCTTAGCTTCCGTTTCGCGCAACGACTCCCACGCGAACAGTCATTTTCGTCAAAACAGTCCAAACATCTTCCTAGACGAGCCAGTGCTCCTCTTCTTCCTCGCAGGAGCCACGATTTCCGCGTTGTCTCCATTCGTCGCTGCGATATGATTCGTGACAGGCATCAGTTTGCTCCGCACCTGCTCATCCAGCAACGACTGCATGTCCATCTGCCATTGTTCGAGCTGTTGACTAAGTTCGATCTTCTGTTGTATCGCTTCCATCAGTTGGCTGTTGGCTTGCAGCACGTCTATCCTCGTCTTAGCAAGCTCTACTTCTGCCCGGTTCTTCCTGGCGACCGCCTGGTCCCTGACTTGGTACGCCTGAGACAGGATCTCGTCCTTCGTCAACTGAGAGTGGTCCATGTCGTTGCGGGCCCTGTCTCTCTCTTCTTTCACGCCGCGGAGTTCAGCTTCGCACACGCTGAGCTTGCTGGTCGTGTCGAGCAGGGTCTCCCCGCGCCTCTTTAACTCCTCTTGCGCTTGTTTCAACTGATCCTTCGTGTTGTCCAGCTCTTCGCGTACCTTGTGGAGCTCCACTGCCAGGCCGAGCTCTCCGGGGGCTCCTCTTCCGGAGAGGGTTAGGTTGTACACCTCTTCCACCAGGTCTAACAGAGCACCGGGACAGTTCTGCAAAGGACAGAAAGGAGTATTTAGTCAGATAGGATTTACTTTGAGGAATTAGGTGTTAAGATTGCTTTATTAAAATTACTCGAAATTAATTTCAACTTAGAATTTACTTTGAGGAATCAGGAGTTAAGATTGCTTTATTAAAATTACTCGAAATTAATTTCAACTTAGAATTTACTTTGAGGAATCAGGAGTTAAGATTGCTTTATTAAAATTACTCGAAATTAATTTCAACTTAGAATTTACTTTGAGGAATCAGGAGTTAAGATTGCTTTATTAAAATTACTCGAAATTAATTTCAACTTAGAATTTACTTTGAGGAATCAGGAGTTAAGATTGCTTTATTAAAATTACTCGAAATTAATTTCAACTTAGAATTTACTTTGAGGAATCAGGAGTTAAGATTGCTTTATTAAAATTACTCGAAATTAATTTCAACTTAGAATTTACTTTGAGGAATCAGGAGTTAAGATTGCTTTATTAAAATTACTCGAAATTAATTTCAACTTAGAATTTACTTTGAGGAATCAGGAGTTAAGATTGCTTTATTAAAATTACTCGAAATTAATTTCAACTTAGAATTTACTTTGAAGAATCAGGAGTTAAGATTCCTTTATTAAAATTAGTCGAAATTAATTTCAACTTAGGACTGCATTGTTTATTTTCATTTGGTGCCCTCATCGTTTGCTTTATCTTATACTGGACATTTACTTCCATTATGATAAGATTTCTGTTACCCAGTTTATAAGTGAATGGAAACGTCTTCAAGGTCATCGTATTAGATTAAATTCGTTATTACAGAATGAAAACCAATCAAAGACGTCACATGACAAACACGCTCTATAAATAAGCAGCTGTACATTGAATGCTTATCTCGGAAGCACCAATCACGGTCGATTATTTATCGCAAGATCTCCGTGGTACGATCGGTGAGCGAAGCACGTTCTGCGATACTTAAGACTGCGGGTGTGCTGGAACCGCAACCGGAAACCGGAAGCGGAGGGACAAAGGAGAGGGTGGTGAGTCCTTACCGAGTTAGGGAGAGTCTCCTGTCCATTGGTGTCCGCCACGTCCGCTTCCGCGGTGTTGTTCACGATCACGAGCATGGACTCGTCGCAGTCGCTTTGTAGCCCCGAGTCGTCTTCCCCTCGCCTCAGATGGACGCAAAGTTCCTTCAACCGCTTCATCGCCCTCGCCACCTCAGCCCGAAGGTCCTCCTGCTCTTCCAACGAACTTCCGCTCTCCTCGCACTCCATCTCCGCCTGCAAGGACCTCGGCGGTTTCTGTATCGAGCCGGATCTTCCTCTCCTCTCTGCCTCGATGACCGCCAACGTCGCGACCAACTCGTCTCTGCGAAATTTAATTGACGATCACCCTGCGACCACCTACTTTATCGGATGACTGAGACTGCATTGTTTATTTTCATTTGGTGCCCTCATCGTTTGCTTTATCTTATACTGGACATTTACTTCCATTATGATAAGATTTCTGTTACCCAGTTTATAAGTGAATGGAAACGTCTTCAAGGTCATCGTATTAGATTAAATTCGTTATTACAGAATGAAAACCAATCAAAGACGTCACATGACAAACACGCTCTATAAATAAGCAGCTGTACATTGAATGCTTATCTCGGAAGCACCAATCACGGTCGATTATTTATCGCAAGATCTCCGTGGTACGATCGGTGAGCGAAGCACGTTCTGCGATACTTAAGACTGCGGGTGTGCTGGAACCGCAACCGGAAACCGGAAGCGGAGGGACAAAGGAGAGGGTGGTGAGTCCTTACCGAGTTAGGGAGAGTCTCCTGTCCATTGGTGTCCGCCACGTCCGCTTCCGCGGTGTTGTTCACGATCACGAGCATGGACTCGTCGCAGTCGCTTTGTAGCCCCGAGTCGTCTTCCCCTCGCCTCAGATGGACGCAAAGTTCCTTCAACCGCTTCATCGCCCTCGCCACCTCAGCCCGAAGGTCCTCCTGCTCTTCCAACGAACTTCCGCTCTCCTCGCACTCCATCTCCGCCTGCAAGGACCTCGGCGGTTTCTGTATCGAGCCGGATCTTCCTCTCCTCTCTGCCTCGATGACCGCCAACGTCGCGACCAACTCGTCTCTGCGAAATTTAATTGACGATCACCCTGCGACCACCTACTTTATCGGATGACTGAATAAACGGTGAATCGGTGTTTGCTTAACGCTCGCAAACAGACAATGAGGCAATCTACACGTGAATAGAGATAAAAACATGAGTCCGAGCTAGTGGAAAGTGGACACGTGACTGCAGTTTTATTCCGTTTCATGGTTCTAGTTGATCGCGTAGAGTAACAGTTTGAAGGGAACGTATTCTTTGCGTGGGTCGTGAAATGTTATGGTTTGAGGTGGTTGTGATGAAGGAATGTGTAATGTGTGTTATGTGAAATTGGGTCTGTAGCTAATCTAACAGGTCACAAGATGACCCTCAAGAAATCCACAAGATGGATTTACTGCTTGTGACATTGCTAACTTGACATTGCTTGTGACAACAGCATGTTGTGTCTCGATTGTCCAAAAATATGAAGTGACCAGAATGTTCGAATACCTCTCTCGTTCAGCCAGTCTCGCCCTGTGTTCTGCTTCGTGACCGAGGCGTTCCAAGGCCGCTGCTCTCTCTTCGGCTTCTTCGAGGGCCGCGATCGCCCTCGCCCTCTCTTCTCGCAGCTCCAAGGACCTCCTCTCTAATTCTGTTCTTTGCGCGGACACTAGCTGCACCTGGAATGTTAAGCTTAACCTTACGTTTTGTACTACCGGACTGCTTTGGCAGACACTTTTCTGCCGATCAGCAAATATTATGCACGAATCGCGTGTTTTTGCGTGGTCGTTGAAAACACTCGAGTTTTCGTAGTTTTATGATTCTAAAGGTGAGTAGTCTACGTATAAAGGAAAATGATACGAAGGATTTTGTACGCAATTATTCTAGTTTCTTAAATGTTACGTTTCTCCCCGTTTCCTCGGCGTCCTTGTAACGGATACAAAGAAACGCAGCTAGACTTTCGTTTCGTTTCATTACTAAAGAATTCATGGTTATTTCACGGTCACCTTTCGTTCCCATTCTCGTGGATACAAGAGAACCGGAAAGTTAGAAACTCTCATCCACTTTCATAATTTCTTTTATTGGACACAAAAAAGTCATGATTGTCGAGGTCGTGTCCCATAATGTCCGTGATATAATCGATAACATTGACGTAACGCGTGAGACGTAACGAAGGGAATTCGCGCGTGAAGAGCATTTCCTGAAATTCGAGAACTCGGTACCCGCTGTAAGCAGAGAACAAAGGGTATGGGATCGAAGGACGGGCAAGTTAAGTCGATCGTCGAGGGTCACCAGTGTCTCGTTCGCCGGATACTTGTCTCGTACGAGGATTCCGAACGCTCCTCGTAAGCTAAAACATTGATACTTCACGGCGAAACGAGTATTCGACTCTTTAATTTACTCGGATTGATAATTCGATACGTCTCACGTTCGATGCGCTGCAAAGTCCATGTCTATTCTGTAGGATTTTGTGAAATCTTACAGGATTTTGTAGAATTGTATAGGATTTTCGTTGAGATAGATGCTATTCAATTTGAGGTAACGCAAGTTTATGGAAAATGGGATGTCTAGAATTGGACCACTACACGGACTTCATGAAGCGTTAATTTGAACAATGAGTAATTTGGCGGTATAAGAATATGAGAATTCGAGTATATTTCAAGTAAGGTTAGAAATTTAGAAAAATTTAAATTTCTGTCCAAGAGGGTGGATTCACAAATGACATAACCTAAACGCACCCTAAATCTACATGGCTATAATGAATAACAATACCAAAAAGCTTCCTATTCCCCGCTATCACTTATCTAGCAACTATCGCTCTAGAAACCGAAGTACCACCGGTACTACCCTGAACACGCTATATCGCGTGTAGCATCTACAAGCCATTTCCACGCATCAATCACGCGATATCGCGTGTTAACAAAAATCACCATTATTTGCATGGGATAAAATTCCAATGAGAAAAATTAGAATAATTTTGAATGATGAGGTTGCAAACGGAAATCGTTAATTTACCTCGTCCCTGAGAACCTCCAGGCTACTGACGTGATCCTGGAGCGTGGTATTTCTGAGGGCACACTTTTCCCTGAGCACCTTGACCTCGATGAGCAGCTGTTCTTCCTGTTTCGCTGCTTCTCTCAGCTGATCGGCCAGCCTCGCGTTCTGAGCTGTGAGCTCGGTAACCAAAGTTGCCTGATCTCGTTCCGCTCTTCTCGCTCGTTCATTTTGCTCCTCCAACTGGCTCCTCAGAGTCTCCACGTCGGTTTGCAGCTCCAAAGTTCGGGCCTCGCTCTCGCCCTTGACTTCTTCTAGCCTTCTACGAAGCAGGTGCCTCTCTTGTTCCAGACTCTGTGACAACAAACCGGGAACACGTTAAGAGCATTACTACTGATCGATCAAAGCCAATTTGCCGTCGCGTGATGGCTAGGCTCTTGTGTCGCATGCTGCGACACGTGTGGACGTATTTGTCGGACATATTTGTGTAATATTTAGAGGTGCTATACACCTCGGAGCTTTGTTTACGGGTGTGGGAATTTGTGAGTTCGATGAACTGTACGCCACGAGTTTTAATTTTAAAAAATTTAAGATTGTAAGCTAAATTAAGGGTGTGTCTAGGTAACTTGTGGATTAAGTATTGAATACCATTATTTTCTTGATCTATTACATGTACATTCACCGTGAAACTTATCCAACAATATCACCGTGGTCGACGCCGTAAACAAGCACCATTTCTTCACGATTTGTGAAAGTGAATGATTGAATCGACTATGTTAAAGTGTTGAAAGAACATCCAGCAGAGAACACCGAAAGAAAGAAAAAGCCAGAATACAAACTACAGATGATTCACCACGACGTTGTTTGTAAAATAACTCTCGAATCGGTTGGTTACTTTCGACCTCGAAACGCGCGTTCGACCTAACGAAGGCTACCGCAAAAGTCCCTGACTGGAATATCAAAAAACAGGATTCGATCGAGCGTTTCCCTTCTCGAAATTCGCAGCTTTTAAAACTGACTCATGAACAATGCTCGGCGACTTCTGGGAGAGGAACAAGATGGAGACCGAGTTCGGTGAAAGGACAATGTACGAATGTTTCGTAAGGATATAAAATATAAAGAGCAGATGAATTATGATATGCTCTGTTGTAAAGAAATTTTGTTGGAAATTTAAGGGATATTTAAGGAATAAGAATCGAAGAAACTTATCGGTGATAATTTGTGCAATTTTACAGATCCGCATTCCGGTTGAGAGAAAGGAGATTAGTGACGTAATATGAGGTTGCAACAGCCTCCTCTGATTTCGGAGCACTCAACCTTGATATTTTGATACTTAAGATGAAAAGGCCTCCAGAATTGAAGTCCTGAATTTTATATGAAAATTGCAAAATCTTGCCTGAGATCTCTAAACTTCCCCTGATTTTCTGTTCCCAAAATTTCTAAGTGTCCAGACTTCTCAATTTTCTAAATCTATATAATTCTAATTCCATATAAAAATCTCGACATCCTAAATTTCCCAAACTTCCAAATCCTTAAACCTAACCTCCAAATGTCCAAATCTCAAAACTCCGAAATTTCCAAAAATCCCAATTCAACCTAACCTAACTTCCTAACAAAACCTAACCCAGAAATATTTTTAAACTATCAAATTTTGAGTAAAGGAAATTTGCAGATACACATATCACTATAAAATTGCAAGTACAACCATAAACCAATGTTTTCTGCGATTATAAAACGCCTACAGAATCTAAGGGAAAGCATTCGACGAATCTATCATCTCGTTGAAAAGCATAGAAAGTGCTGAAAGGGTTGATAGGCAAAAAGCGGGCAATTTTAATGCGGTTACATTGGTGCAATCTCGGATACGATTCTGCGGTACAAATCGCGATGCATGCCCGAGTGATCGAATGAAAAGGCGGCTATAATGCGGGCATGTGCACACAAACAATCGCACGGTTCGATGTCGGTGGAGTTTATCGAGCTAGAAGGTAAGTATATACGGCCTTGGTCTCCCGTGGTTACACATCGACCGATCGTGAAGCCAAAGGTTCTCGAAAAGTTCGCCAACGATTCGCCGATCCCTTCGAGATCGTCAACGGCTATTACGATCGTTCGAATCGATTACGTACGCAAACTTATGGGGATGTAGGAGGAAATTTCGTTTGACTTCCTACTTTGAATAATTTATGGGCGATTATTTGGGAGCGGGGTAAACAAATTGGAAAAATAGTTCCAAGAATTTGTTGGTTGACTGGTGGATCTCTGACGGTCGACGCGTCATCAATATTTCAGGAGTCAATTAATATGTATCAACATTGTCGATTGTACTTAAACATTGATGAGAATGAGACATGTATGATTATATTGATCAGGTGATCGTCTGAAGTCTCCATTAGTCTTCATATATTGTTTTCTGTCAATTCATATGTAAAGTGTAGGTGTACATTAATTTTGTTGTTGACAAGTATAGCTGTTCGTGATAATGGTTAAGTATTAACTCCACGCATACTAGCATGAAGATACACTTAATTATTGTAAGGACATTCTTAATTATTGTACACTTGATTGTTAGAACGTTATTAAGAATACGAACCATCCACGTAGACCATTAACTGCCTTAAATATACTTAACTACGTACATACTGTTAAGATATGTCTAAGTCTCATAAGGACATACTTAATTATAACGACATACTCATAAGATTCAATGCTTAACCACCAGGTGTCTCACTAAAGTACACGCAGCATTTGATACGTTCGATAAGAAGGGTAATTCACGGAATGCAGCAAAAAGGATAAATTGACACAAATTATCCGGCAAGGGATGTGCAGATTGTGAACGGAAAGACAAACGGATGTGCATGGGAGCGACAAGAAACCTGTGCACACGCTTTTTCAATAAAGCAACAGAGCCGGAGGCAACTAACGGAGTACCATGAGTCACAGGGCTCTGATTGTGGTGGTTTCACCATCGATGACGTTAAACATTCACCCACGCTGTTCTCCTGAAAACAGTGTCCATTTCGCGAGATCTTAATCGCGGACGCTGTAAAAAATTTTTCTTATGTTTACGTAAGCGTTCATTTAAAATCTGGTGATGTGTTCTTGTAAATTTAAATTACACTTGATGTTAAAGTACATTCAATATTATTGCTACATTCAATCGATATTAAAGTTCAGTCAATAAAATAAAACTTCAACTAAAACTTGAAGTTCAATATTAAATTCTGAAGCACTTAACCCTCAAACTATTCCAAGAAATGTTAATATAGATAAACTTAACGATATTCTCTTCATTTTTAAAGAGCTACTCCATCAACACAAAATAGAAAGTATGAATATAAATGAGAACATCTTCCATTTCGAAAAAATTATATAATTAAAAGATAAGGTTAATCTCGTAACACCAATCACCGATGATATCGCGATGTTTAAGCCCGATTAAGCTGGAGCCCATTACCTGTCGTTATTAATATCGCGTGGAGTGAGTCATCGACGGCCATTAAACTTGCATATCCTCTGTAAACTCGAGCATCTGTTGCTTTCGGCTAATCCAGCGTTCGATTATGGACAACTTAGGTATCCGTGAAACAACCGGTCTGCTGTGGATAATTGCCATCAATCGCTAAGCACGTGACAAGCTCTATTGACTCACGGATCCTGTTTGATGCTCGAGACTCCACTTCTTGCCTCTTTCGACATCTATTTCGATATCGTTAACACTGTGAAAGTTCTGCAGTGAGAACAATTGAGAAACGTGGAGAGCTTCTAATACTTTGAAGGATATTTATATGATTCGGATATTTAGGTCACTATGATCTTGATTTAGTTACCAAGGGAATGAGTGTTTGGAAGAAATCTTGTGTAAGGAAGATTTCTGGGACGCAGGAAGGTTTGCATTTTGGTTTGGAAACTTCAAACTTGGAATTATGGAAGTTTGGGACTTTGGAAGTTCACAATTTTAAAACTTTGGATCCTTGAAATTTTGGTGTTTGTTGAGTTCTGAACTTTGGAAGCTCAAGTCTTTAGAATATTTGTCAGTTTGAAAGCTGAGAACTTAGACTTTGGGAGCTGAGAATTTGGAACTTTGAGAATTTTAAAGATTCAAGACGTCGGAATTTTGTAATTTTACAAAGTGTAGACATCAAGACTTTGAAAATAAAGTTTGAAACATGGAAACATAACTTGGAAGCCCTCCACACTCCTGCAGAAATACAACCCCACCTATAATCAAAGTAACAGTACAACAGTACCGGTTGTTTGGATGTAACTGGGTCATTCGATCAAGCTTCAAATCAATCGACATCTACGATAAAAAGCTTGCAGCACAAGTCCATTTTCCCATCCATTAGCAATGTTTTTCTGGTCATCGAAAATGAAAGTACAGTGGACAAGAAGATTATTCTAATTATACGGCTGGAACGCAGGCAATACATCTTCCGGCACAGTTTAACGGACTTCTAATTTAATGGCTGAGCTCCTGTCGCTTTCTGCTCGAAGAAACAGACATCCGGTCGGTAGAAAGGGAAATAACCGAAACGAGGAAGCAGAACAGCGACTGGTACGAATGGCCGCGGATCTTCGATTTATCGTGGTATTGACTCCACCACGTGGCCACCTAACCAGATCAGCCCATTAGTTGCTGCCATGTGACCCCATCGATAGAGATTAAAATCCTTGCTTTATGTGCGCGGTTAACTTCAAGGTTGGCTTACCTTGACTTAGAAGCTGTTATTTGTATTCCACAAGTGGATAAAGAGTGCTCGGAATAGTGAAACAAAGAACTATAGGGTGGCTCAAAATTATCAAACATAAAATTGGCTTTGGTTCAAAGACTGCAGTAATAATAATAAAACCAGAAGCAAAACAACGAAGGTGAATTTATCTTTCTTGACAAGTTCTTCAATTTTGATTCTAATGCAATAACGATGAATCAGTTTTACAGCAAAAAATGCTTCGGCAAATAGGTTTCAAATGATCGATTACGAAAAAGGAAAAGTGAGTCATATTTTCAGCGGCGCACGTGGATAAAACACAACGATTTTTGTACCGTGTCTAACGTTGTTATACGGTACAACGGTTAAGGCCTTCTCGAAAATCTGTTTCCTGTAACGAAAGATCCTTCGTTTCTCTGTTCATTGATCCTTGCACGTCGTGAAATAAAAGGCATCGAGCAACGGCATGAAATTGTGCAACGGTGAAATCTGAACGATTAATTAACGTTTGCTAATGATAAATTTTATATACCTTTTGTTAAGACAGTTCGGTTGCCTAATATGGCATAAGCCTGGCATGAATTATCCTTGATGGTAATCCTTACAGGTGTAATTACATAATGAAATTCCTCGAAATCA